ATGCTTGGATATGGATCCCCTCAGGAGTAAAGTGATTATCCATGTTACCTTGGGTCATGTGAGCGCAGGCACCCAGATTGGAGGTAGTCTGGACACTTGGCCAGTGTCGGGCATATGGATTGGTACTGTATGGTGTGGAGATTTGATCATGAGCATGCATATGCATTCTAAATTCATGTAGTAGCTATCATATATATATATATATATATATATATATATATAGACACACACATATAGAGACCAATTTATAACATGACTTTGGGAGTAATTGAGATATTTGACTTGGTATTGTGTTTCCTTCGCCTGAGAAGCATGTCTTAATATCAGATATTTCTCTGACTTGCCTTTGTATCCATTTGATAATAACATGCCTTATCTACCTCTTTATTTTATTCTTTCACTTGCTTATTAAACTACTAGTAAGTGTCAATGTCGACCCGTCTTCACTACTTCTTCGAGGATAGACATGATACTTACTGGTACCGTAGTTTTGTAATCATACTACACTTCTACAAATTTTGTGCAGATTCTGAGACCAATACCAGTCATACCCGTCCTGCTACGTAAAGACTTGCATTTGGAGACTTCGTGGTGAGCTGCTTAATTGTTCGATCCGTAGCACATGGAGTCCCCCTCCCTTGATCATCTATTTATGTCCTTTTGTTTGTTCTAGATAGATATTTTTATATTGATAGCGTAAGGTCGCGTAAAGTTTTTCCTAAAACCCGGAGTTTCGTGGTGCCGAAGTAGACTTATGCATTGATGATTGGGTTGAACAGTGCGTTGGGGAGTTGAAGAAAACTTTTGGAAGTGCAGGGCATTTTCTGCAGCCCATTCTGCGTTCGCAGAACTGATCTACGGTCCACAGATCTGCCGCGGACTGAGGAAGAAAATCTAGGCAATTTTTGGACCATTATGCGGCCACATAATTATTTTGCGGGCCGCATAACCTGTCGTAGACACAACACAAAAAATTTTGGAGGGCAATTCTGTGGCGCATTATACGATCGCAGAATAGGCCTATGGACCGCAGACCGATCGCATAGTGAGGCAGGGGTGCCAAGTTCAGGAGGGCCATTATGAAGCCCATTTTGCGGACCGCATAAGTGTTATGCGGTCGCATATGCGACCGCAGATCTGTGTCGGGGCTTTATTTTTCCAATTTTATAACCCGACCCCAATTTCATTTATCTAGGCTAAGGGTTCATTTTTGGGGGATGACCTGACATTTTAGAAAGAGAAGACAGCTATTCTAGAGAGAGGGAAGGGAGGACTAAGTATTTCACTGCATTACTTTGATCAAACCTTGGAATTCCATCAAAAGGAACTTGCTAGGGCTTCAAAAAGGTAAGAAATTCTTCCCCCAATTCTTCAATTTCGGGTTTGGGTTGATTATGGGTGATGAGGAAAGATTTATGACATGCATGAGCTAATAGAGACTGTGGAGAGGTTGTTGAACCATCTTGGGTGATTTTGTTCTTAAATTAGTTGAGGGAAAGGTCGGTTCATAATCGTAACAGCCCTTGCCATTCGAATTCCTCTAATCGTGCTTATAATTCTCTACTCCTCTATAGATTGGCATCATTATTAGTGGTGGGACATTATTGTGGCACTACGAAAAGCTTTTTCGAGGTATGAAGGCTAAACTCTTCTTCTAGTATCAGAATTCCCGAATCTTTGTAAAATTCTATCAAGTGTAGTCGAACTTGAAACGCTATTCACGTGGGGTATTCAAACTAGTAAAATTGATTCCCGATTGGCGTAACGTGTTGGAACCCTCGTGTGTTAATGATTCTCTATTTTTGACTTAATTATGGTATACCCCTTTTTGGGAAGAAGATCTTGTATGAACTGAATGTGCTTAAACACTCATTTCTTATATGATGAGACATTGTGAACTTACACTTGCTAAGGCCAAAGGTGCCAAATGGTTGATTTAAAAGGGAGCTCTCTTGTACAAACTATTATCATTTTGGGAATCTGAGGTGTGTCATTGTGAATACACCTCCACCCACATACATTGGTGTGAGGCGGCACGATCGCTTTGTGTAGAGTTGTGGTATTATGAATACACCTCCACCCGCGTATATCGAGGGGAGGCGGCATGAGCGCTTTGTGTACAGTTTGTGGTATGGTGAATGCACCTCCACCAGCATACATTGGTGTGAGGTGGCAAGGCTGCTTTGTGTAGTATTTTTGGTAATGTCATTGCACCTCCACCCGCATATGTTGGGGTGAGGCGGCAGGGCCGCTTTGTGTAAAGGTAGTTGTAGAGGATTCCCGACTTATGAATTCATAAATGTTATTTAAAGCTATTAATAAATTGCTATGGCTTGAATGGCTAACTAAGCCTTTTATTGTTACCATGATTCATCATATTCATGTTGTATTTCCAAGTCCTTGCATAGGTGTTTGATTATCGTACTAGTACTATTCGACATGTACTAACGTCCTTTTTTCCGGGGCCGCTGCATCTTTAATGGATGCAGGTTATTCCATAACAGGTGGTATTGATCAGTGATAACATCACACCCTCTCCTCAGCTGACTTGGTGAGCCCCACTTTATTCCGGGGTCCTGTATCTCTTGTTCCATGTACATAGTATTTTGAGGTATAGTCGGGGCCTTGTTGCCGGCACTGTCGTAGTACTCTTTTGTTTCTGTTAGAGGCTTCGTAGACATAGTGTGGGTTGTATCCTATTTTGGGAAGGTTGAACTAAACTTGTTGTAATTTTATTATCTGTCAAACTTTAACTACGAATATATAGTGTACTGTTTTGTGGACTTGTTAATGGCATAACTAATGGAAGTGAACTAGTGTTATTCACATGACCTCTTGATGTTTAATTAATGATATAAATGTATCTTCTCTTGAATCGTGGGCGAGTTGGGTAGAAGGTATTGTATAAGCTTGCTCGGCCGGGGTATCTCGGTTAAGCGTCGGTCGCGCTCCCCGAGGTCGGGGCGTGACAAATAGACACATATTATGCTTATTAGATGCTCGTGATGTTAGGACACCGGGTTTTGGGCATTCTCTGACAGTTGTGGTTGTGTTTAGACCACGTCTCAAATATTTATATCTTTATATTGGTTTGGGATTATTTCTGCTTTCATATTTATGTCATATATTGTTAAATGACTTATAATTTGGTTTATGTATTCTTATTGGGTGTTGGTTTGCCTAGCAAGCAAGTTAGGCGCCATCACGACCTTTGGTGAGATTTTGGATAGTGACACTCTTGAACCTATCGGAAACCAAACCAGTTATCCCCACAAGTCATAAATCATAAAACCAACCCGTGGAAAGTTTCAAATAGGGGAATGGGGTTCTAGAACTCAAAATAATCGGTCGAACCATTACATTCTCCACTTTTTAAACAAATATTCATCCTCGAATGGGTTTAGAAATGCACCTGGACTACTTAAAAGTTATGGATATCTGCTTCACATACTTGACTCGGTCTTCTAAGTTGCCTCCTCACTCCGTTGTGTTTTCCAAAGCACCTTCACCGAAGTAATCTCCTTTATCCTCAAATTCGGAACCTGCCTGTCCAAAATAGCTACCAGCTCTTCTTCATAGGCCAAATTCTTATCTAGATGCACTATGCTAAAGTCCAAAAGATGTGACTTATCTTCATTAAACCTCCAAAGCATAGAAACATAAAATATCGGATGAACCTCTGGTAGGCTAGGAGGCAAAGCAAGCCTATAAGCAACCTCACCAACTCTCTCAAGAATCTAAAATGACCAATAAACCCCGGGCTTAAATTTCCTTCTTCCCAAACCTCATCACGCCTTCAGCGGTAAAACTTTTAAAAGTACCTTCTCACCCTCCATAACTGCCACATCACGAACTTCTTGTTTGCATAACTCTTCTGCCTACCCTGAACTATTTGAAGTTATTATTGAATCAACTTTACCTTCTCCAAAGCATCACATACCAAATATATATCCAATAACTTAGTCGGACCATGCTCAAACCAACCAACTGGAAAATGACACTGCCTACCATACAAAGCCTCAAACAAAGTTATTTGAATGTTGGACTAATAACTGTTATTATAAAAAAACTCAGTCAAAGGCAAGAACTTATCCCAATGACCTCCAAAGTAAATCACACAAGATCACAACATGCCCTCAAGAATCTGAATAGTCCGCTCGTACTGACCATCCATTTAGGGTGAAATGTTATGCTAAGCTCCACCTGTGTACCGAACTCCCACTTTACTGCTCTCCAAAAGTAAGATGTAAACTGAGTTCCACGATCTAAAATGATAGAAATAGGTACACCATGCAAATGAACTACCTCCCGGATGTAAATCTGAGCTAACCTCGCTGAGGTATAAGTAGTCAACACTGGTATAAAGTGCACAAACTTGGTCAACCTATCCACAATGACCTAAATAGTATCAAACCTCCTCAAGATACATTGTAGCCCTACTCCCAAAGTCCATAGTGATGCACTCCCCATTCCACTCCGGTATAACTATCTTCTAAGTAAAACCACCTGATTTCCTTTATTCATACTTAACTTGCTGACAATTCAAACACCGAAAACATGACAAATAATGTCCTTCTTTATCTTCCGCCACTAATAGTGTTGCTTCAAATCATGATAAATCTTCATAGCCCCTAGATGAAGCTGCATAACACCATCATCTCCAACACCTTCTTAGTACCACCTCGCTGCACCATGTCTTTAAGCACTAAGAAATGGGGATCATCATAACCATGAATTGGATAGTTCTTCTCATGTGCTTCAACTGTCGTGACGCATAAGAAAATTACTCTATCCTTCTACATCAACATCGCACAATAACCAATGCATGAAGCATCACAATACACTATGTATGGTCCAGAACCTGTAGGCAACACTAACACTGGGGGTGTAGTCAAAGCAACCTTGAGCTTCTGATTGCTCTCATTACATTCAACGGACCATATTAAAGGAACAACCTTCTGAGTCAACTTAATTAATGGAGCTACAATAGATACAAACCCCTATACAAAACAATGATAATAGCCTACTAAACCGAAGAAACTCCTTCTTTTTGTAGCTGTAGTAGGTCTACGCCAATTCTGAACCCCCTCAATCTTCTTTGGATCAACCTTAATACCATCACTAGACACTATTTGACCTAATAATGCAAATGAACCCCACCAAAACTCACACTTAGAAAACATAGCATAAAGTTGCTTCTCCTTTAAGGTTTGAAGTACAATCCTCAAATGCTGCTCATTCTCCTCCCTACTACAAGAGTAAACCAAGATGTCATTAATGAACACCACACAAAAGAGTCCAAATAAGGCTTGAACACCCGGTTCATCAAATCCCGAATGCCACTGCAGCATTAGTCAAAACAACTAAAATCACCAAGAACTCATAATGACTATAACAAATCCTAAAAGCCATATTAAGCATATTCACAGCCCTAATCTTCACTTGATGGTTATCTGACCTCAAGTCAATCTTAGAGAACACCGTAGCACCTTGAATCTGATCAAACAAATCATCAATACAAGGCAATGGATACTTGTTCTCGATAGTAACTTTGTTCAACTGCCTATAATCAATGCACGTCCTCATAGTACCATCCTTCTTCACAAATAACAACCATGCACCCCAAAGAGAAATACTAGGAATGATGAACAACTTTCCAAGCAAATCATGCAACTGCTCCTTCAACTCTTTCAACTCAACTGGATCCATGAGATATGGTAGAATAGACATGGGTTGAGTGCCTAGAACCAAGTCAATACCAAAATCAATATCCCCATATGGTGGCATACCCGGCAAATCAGTAAGGATCACCTCGGGGAACTCTCTTTCAATCGGTATCGAATCCATAGGAGGAACCTCCGCATTATAATCCTGAATAAAGGTCAAATGTGATATAAATCCCTTTTCAACCATAGGCCGAGGCTTCAAAAATTTGGAACCTCTCATAAGATACCTCAGATCTCCACACTCAAAGCAACCTCTTTGCTTACATGGCTATTGGGAGTGAGTCTGACCCCGATGACCAAAATAAAGACCATATGAACCATAAGCTGGAGATGCACCATAGGAGTCCTGCCCCAAACCGATAGCCGAAGTACCATGAGAAGTCTGAAGTGCTGAGTGAACTGGTCTACCAGAATATCCTCTACCAAAATGACTCTTTCCTCCAGACGAGGCACTATCGAATCACTCTAAATAACGAGGGCTATTATCTTTGTCACGCCCCAAACCCGAGCCTGGACGTAACACGACACCCGATGTCTGACTATATGTGACCGAGAGAACCAACTGCTGACTGAATCAATATGTGGTATCGTAATTTATTGAATGCAGAAGATAAGCTAACACATGTTGATATACTGAAAGTCTGAATCGTATAAATCAAGTGCGAAAATACTAATATAATTGTGAAACATATATGTTGGAAAAATTTCTTAACATAAAAAACCTGTGACTCTATCTAACTGTTACTCTAGTCAATGAAGCCTCTAATGAAGTACTGAAAACACTGACTGTTTGTAAACACATAAATATTGTAACATAATGGTAATGCCTCGAAAGAACTGGGCTCACCAAATAGCTGGTACGAAGATCCTAGCGCTCTGAATCGTCAACCTGTCATTACCTGCATTGTGAGATGCAGGCCCCGGGCAAAAGGGACGTCAGTACATTTGAATTGAACTGGTATGTAAAGCAACTGAAAGAAAGGACTATAAATGTTGAAACTGATACTGAGCTGATAACTGAGAATTGATAATTGACAACTGAAATGATAACTGTTGAAACTGAAACTGAAATGATAACTACTAACTGATAACTGAAATGATAACTGATAACTGAAATGATAACTGATAACTGAACTGAACAAAGGAAGTAAGGATATGAATACTCCCTCTTTTGAATGATGAACAACCTGTTTATCTATATAATAAACTGCAGCCTCAGGCCCAATATATCTGTGCACAAACTACGACCTCGGGCCCAAGTATACATATACATAACTACGGCCTCAGGCCCAAAGATGCATAAAGCATTAACTGCGGCCTCAGGTCTAAACATGCATAAAACCTAAACTGCGGCCTCAGGCCGAAACATGCATAAAGCATAAACTTCGGCCTCATACCCAAACATACATAAAGCATAAACTGCGACCTCGGGCCCAAATACAGGTGTTCCACATTCAGGGATTAAAAATCAGGAACTGACAATCAAACTGAATTACATGATACTGAAATACTGAACCATACTGAGTTAGATGATACTTGAATGCTGAATAGAGCTAGACTGAGACATGTATTCATAAACTGATTATGAAAACTGAAACTTTAACTGTTTATGACATGTTGAGTAATCTAGACTGAGACTCATGGGCATCAAACACAAGTCTATATTGATTACACACTAAGCTCACAACATTCCGAATAAAAGTCCTGAACGAGTTACGAAGCTAGATAATAGAAGTTCTGTAACTATTCAATGAGCTAGACTTAACTATACTTCTGCGGCAATTAGTAATGTCGTAAAAGAAACGTAGTGTAGGGAGAATATTAATATTCCCAAACATAGAGAGTTAGCCTCACATACCTTAACTTCCTGCTCTTGAGTGTAATACAACATTCGCCAACCATTCCAACTTTAATCTATATCACTACAAGTCAAAGGGATTCCATATTAGCAATTACACTCATCTTTTGATCACTTAGGCATTTTCTCAAACACTTGGTGGGCATAAAGCTTCATAGCTCTTATTAATGGTGTTTTTACACCCAACAACCCATTCTCTTGCTCATAGATAAATTCTAAAATCTCAATTTGCTATAATCAGTACCATTTTTCATCACCCATAAGATAAACAACATCCTTAATAAATAATCAACAACCCAAACCTATAATAGTTCATGCTTTTCTATCAAAATCATCAACCCATATCTCATGAACTTGTAGTCTATAATCATTAATCGAATGCTATAATCAATTAGAGGGTGAAGATATTACCTTCTTGACGTTCAATCTTCTTGAATTCGAGTTCTAAGGTTTTGTCTCTCAAAACTGATGTTCCAATCGAATATCTAATGATTTGGAGGGTTTACCCATGTTAATAAGTTGTTAAGGAATTGAAATTAACTTAGAATCACCATTAGAACTTATCTTAGATGGTGGAGGAACCTTGGAGGAGTTAGGTTCTTGAGAGCTTCCCTTTCTAGAGCAAGTTTTTGTGTTTTGGGGTGTGGGGAACGAAGTAGGGCTTTAAAAATGACTCTCCGGGTGCGATCCCGCATACCTGGACGCGCATCAAGGTAGTAGCACTGCCACAAGTACGCAGCCGCGCACGGGACCATTTGGGCGTGCACCTGGGCCCACATACTGCACATTATCTAGTAAACCGCATATAATTGTTTACTCAGAAATCCGTTCGGGCTCCACAATATATCGTTCGAAACCTATTTCAAAGGGTGACAAACTTTATGTTTTGTAGTTTCCTAAATTCCTTACCTAGTTTTCATGAAATCTTGATGGAACACAGGCCTTCCATAAACTTAGTCGATTTTATCGGATCTTATGCTCCCCACTCTCCGTCTTGATTCCAAAAGAACTATTTCCACCCATACTCATCCCGGTAGGAGTTCCAATGTCTAAAATATCAAACTAATACCCATTTAACATATCCATACCTAGTCCGAAAGTACGGGGTGTTACATTATCTCCCCCTTGGGATCATTCGTTCTCGAATGATTGTCCTGACTGTAACTTCGGCTAACTTTGGACCTCAAACGGGTCTGGTGGAAACATGTGAACAGTGAACTTTCATGAACAGTTGCATACTAAATTGAAGGAATACATGATTACCGAACTGCTGAGATACTGAACTGAATGACTGCTGCATTGACTGAATATTGGGCTGACTAAATACTAAAAGACATGGAGATTATAATATAAGGTCTAAATGAAAGGTTAGTTACCTTAAACTTTTCTCCGAAACACACTCCAGCTATCATAGCATATCATAATGCATATATCACGAAACATATACGCGAATACTGGTCTACCATGGATACGTGAATACTGAACTAACATGGATATAGGAATATTGAATTGACACGAATATTTCAGTACTGAACTGACATCAATATCTGAGTACTAAGCTAGCAAGAATGTTTGAGTACTGGACTGACATGCGTATCTGAGTATTGAACTGACATGAGTATCTGAGTACTGGAAACTTGAATGTCATAACATGATACGTGAAGTACTGGGTGTACAACTGCTAATTCTGGTGGCAACTCCAACTCATAAGCTATTTTCCGATCTTTTGTAGGATCATATACGGCGTGATATATCTGGGATTGAGCTTTCCTTTCTCCCCAAATCTTATAACACCTTTCAAATGCCAAACTTTTAGAAATACCCAATCATTAACTTGAAACTCTAGGTCTCTATGCCGCACGTATGAATAGGGCTTTTGGCGACTATGAACTGTTTTCAAACGTTCTTGAATCAAATTGACTTTCTCCACAACCTGATAGACCAAATTTGGTCCCAACTACTCGGTTTCAACCAATTGGCGATCTACACCTTCGCAGATACCCAGACTCGCACGGTGCCATCTTGATACTAGAATGGTAGCTGTTATTATGAGCAAACTCAATGAATGGTATGTGATCATCCCAATTACCTTTAACATCAAGGACACATCCTCAAGTGTTTGAATAATGCACTCTACATGTCCATCTTTCTGAGGATGGAAAACTTGTGCCTAATCCTTTTTGAAAGGACTTCTAAGAGTTCATTGTAAACTAAGCACCATGATATAAAATGATGGACAACGGAGTCCCATGCTCTCTGACGATTTCTTGGATATACAACTTGGCATAATCCTTTACTAAATCTGTAGTCTTCACTTGCAAGAGGTTAGCTGACTTGGTAAGTCGATCTACAATCACCCAATCAGATCATGCTTTCAAAATGAGTGAGATAATCCTGTTATAAAGTCCACAGTTACAATCTTCCCTCAAGAGTATGTGTATTCTGTGGTAGAACACTAGGCTTTCTGCTGATCGACTTTCACTTTTTGATAATTCGGACACTTGGCCACAAAGTCTGTGACGTTGGTTTTCATGTTGGTCCACTAATAAACCTCCTTGAGATCATGTTACATCTTTGGGGGACTTGGTGGGTAGAATACCTAGAATTATGGGCTTCTAACATGATCCTCCTCTCTAAGTCTACCTATGCCTGGAACACACAGTCCATCTCGGTAACTCAAAGTACTATCATCTCCCCCTTATTCAAAAGCAATCATTTTATGCTAGTGAATCCTCTCTTTTTGCTGCAACAAGTAGGGGTCATCAAACTGTTTATCCTTCACTTCAGCTACTAAGGAGGAACAAGTCATGTTCTGTACAACAACTCTACCATCTTCATAATCCGAAAGTTGAACTCCTAGCTTGGCTAAGTGGTGAACTTCTTTCACCATAGTTCTCTTGTCTGCCTTAATCATGAGCTATACTTCCTATACTTGATTACCTTTTTAAGGTATTTCCTAAAAATACTTATAGCATTATAATGAGCTAAGTCTTTGACCAGTACTTCGAAGATTAGAGTCTCGTGGAATGACACTACCCTTGTGATACGCAACTGGGCATAATTTTATAGTTTTTTATATCCAATACTAACTATGAGAGTTTCAAATCTCCAACTGGACTAACTGGCGATTTTCACATCTCCCCCTTAGACCAAAGGTTAAGGTCTTATACTTTCAGATCCTTCTCTTTTGTTGGGATCTGAACAACTCTCCTTATCTTCTACAATTCTTTGCACTTTACATCAATGACGACTCATCTTCCGACTTACTTATGAGCAATCTTCCTTACTAGGAAAAATTACTTACATAAACAGAAAGCTAATGTATTCACAACTATCATATACAATCTTAATGATTTAACTCTGCTCACTCTGTCAATCTCGGGGAAACCTCTTTTTGATAACTCTTAAAGGCTATTCTTCTGTAGTTTGCACTCTTACTGCTAGTTGATATTTTTTTGTCTTCCACTGTCACTGAACTTCGGGTTTAACTTTAACTCTTTGGGTTCTAACATGCGTTTAGTATTTCAAATTGTCATCCACTCACTAGAGTTAACCTGGCTAAGTGAATCAAAACTTACCTCTACTAGCTCTGCTGAAATTGCTAATTCACTGTATCTACTCAAAACTTACTTACTATTCTTTTACTAACCACATGCTAGCATCATAATTTTTTCTTCTGCTTCGAATAACTAAAGTGAATCATAAGTTCATTCCTAAGTTCCCTCACCATCCGATCCTATTCTACGGTCGCATACTATCTTTTTTATAAACAATACTATGTACAAGAATTCATCTATCTTGAACGAATTTGGAATATCTAACCCTATAATTTCTATACACTTCAAAATTATAACAAACTATAAACATCCGGGATAAGCATCACATAATCTAAGGGAGAACTGTCATATCTTTTATCTAACAATAATAGTTGCTTCTTATAGTAACTTACTAACGTGGTACTTTCTAGTTCTGATTTGAATAAATCTGAACAACTTAAAATTATTCCCTGAAATTCAATATCAGATGCTCTTGCTCTCATTTCATACATCATATCTTCTTAGTCATCTGCATGAGTCGTACAAAAAAACACATCGTTGGTAATAACCAATGTTTTGATTCCTGGGTATTTTGCCCTTAGGCTCTTTTTTATCCAAAACTATAGTGATCGATTATATCACTGTTGTGGTTATATTATTAACCTGTTACATCGTGGGTCTGACATCTAAACTAACATCACCCAACTTGTGGCTCCATTTCCAAGAATTAAAATGAACTTGTTCTGTGAGGTAAAACATATACGGATACACTACCATACACAACCTTGTCCTTCACATTATACAATAATCTGATAAATAACATCATGCACCATCCAGTGAGTCTTGGGTCTTAATCCGGACCTAAAACATGCAAATATTTCACTATAATCACTGTTACTTACATTTTCTTTGAGCACCCATATGCATCACTGTATACTCATAAGTCACCAAAAATTTTGATACACTGAAAATTAGATATCTAGTAAACATATAACGGAATACTGGCGTACTGAATAACCATAAACTTGCTAGCTAAAAGACCATATAACTGATATCTGATATAAACTGATAACCATAAAACATGATAACTATTTTTGTACTTTCTGATTAGGTTATGCTTTAATATGTACTACTATCCATTGCACCCCACTTTCAAAATACCCTTAAGTCTCATTTGTTACCAACCTGTACTCCATAATTATACTTCAATTGGCAATCATCCTCTTTAGGACCCTAGATTCTTTTTTCCTGCCCGTTGCTTGGGCATTCGATATGTCGGGAATTTGATAGGAAGAGAAGGTTAACTATTGCTCTAAGCTTCATGGAACGATCTAGAGTAGAAAGAAATGAGACAAATCCTGAATATCTTGGTAGTTAACCATTTATATGTGTGACCGGCACACACATATAAAGGAAACTCCACTGGACACGGCTTCATAGACTCCCTAGGACTCTTGAAACTAGTGCTCTTATACCAAGCTTTGTCACGCCCCGAACCTAGGCCTGGACATAACATGGTACCCGGTGCTTGACTACATGCGATCGAGCGAACCAACGGCTGACTAAATCAACATGTGATATCATAACATATTGAATGCGGAAGATAAGCTAACACATGTTGATATACTTAAAGTCTGAATGATATAAACCAAGTGCGAAAATACTAATATAATTCTAAAACATATCTGTAGCAAACATTACTTAACATGAAAAGTTGCGACTCTATCTAACTGTTACTCTAGTCTATGCAGCCTCTAATGAATTACTGAAAACACTGGCCTTCTGTAAATACATAAACACTGTAACGTAATGGTAATGACCCAAAGGAACTAGGGCTCACCACATAGCCGGTACGAGGATCCTAGCACTTTGAATCGTCAACCTGTAAATCATTACCTATATCGTGAGATGCAGGCCCATGCAAAAGGGACGTCAGTACATTTGAATTGCACTGTTATGTATAGCAACTGAAAGAAAGAAATATAAATGCTGAAACAGATACTGAGTTGATAACTGAGAATTGATAATTGACAACTTAAATGATAACTGTTTAAACTGAAACTGAAATGATAACTGCTAACTGATATCTGAAATGATAACTGATAACTGAACTGAACAAAGGAAGTAATGATATGAATACTCCCTCTTCTGAATGATGAACAACCTATTTATCTGTATATTAAACTGCGGCCTCAAGCCCAATATATCTGTGCATAAACTGCAGCCTCGAGCCCAAGTATACATATACATAACTGCGGCCTCAGGACCAAAGATGCATAAAGCATTAACTGCGGCCTCAGGCACAAACATGCATAAAGCTTAAACTGCAGCCTCAGGCCCAAACATGCATAAAGAATAAACTTCAGCCTCAGGCCCAAACATGCATAAAGCATAAACTGCGACCTCAAGTCCAAATAAACACGGTGGCATTATGGGTTGTGGCTTTGGCACTAAAGATTATTAATCTAAAAAGATGGAAAGATTAAATTGGAAACTATGTGATACTTACTTGGTGTTTATTTGTATTTCTATGAAGTACTTATTGATTATTATGACTGCCTTCTCCTTGTTTCACTGTTCACTCTACTAAGATTGGTGTTTGCCTTACATACTAGTACTATTCGATAGTACTAACGTCCCTTTTGCCGGGGGCGCTACATCTTTGAATAGATGTAGGTGGTTCCATCGCAGATAGTGGCGCTCTCTTTCTCTCCTCACAACAGTCTTGGTGAGCCCCATTTCTCCAGGGGTCATGTAGTCCTTCTTTTGTATAAGTTTTCATATTTTGAGCTATAGCCGGGGCCTTGTTGCCGACATTGTCATGTTGCTCTTTTGTACTCTTAGAGGCTCCGTAGACGTTTATGTGGGTCATGTATGTATGTTGGGGTGGTCGTTGGATCGAGTTGTATTTTGGGAACTCAACTATGGCATAATGTATATAAGGAAAAATGAACTAGCAACGTTTATATATTTATATAACTGATCTCTCCCCTATTTTACAAATGGTGATGCGATCCCTTTTTTGGATTATGAATGAGTCGGGTAGGAAAGGTTTAATAGGCTTGCTCGACTGGGTTCACTCGGTTGAGCGCCGGTCGCGCTCCCCGAGGTTGGGCATGACAATTCATAGAAATACTAGGGGTGTCTATATTTTTGATTTCCCATGTGAATTATTATTATATCTTCTGTTTATGGGTATCAGAAAAATACGTATTGGATAAAGTTTAGCTGAAAGGTATATTGATTTTTATGGCATTT